AACAGTTAATCTTCTGACAAACTTCAGCTTTTAATTATGCATTTTTAAATGCAATCTGATATCTGATTTGGGTGAATTTTTATTATGTCTAGGTGAGAAATAGAAGAAAGCTCAGAGACTTCAGAGGCATGTATATGAGCTCAGGATGTATATTTGAAGTGAAAATTTTGTTCTGAATTGACTCGTCTGAATGGGCTGTGTGTTATATTCTGATCAGGAAGCACGGAATGGTGAAATTTAGACAGGCATATTCAAATATTTATTTTTTTCTAAACAATGATCCCAAGAATTTTAGTAGTAAAGCAGCTATGGCAATGATCTAAATGATGTTTAAAAAAATACACCCTTTGCTACATTATTTGGGCCATGCATTAAATCAGTGAAAACATTTTAACTATATTAAATGATTAAATATTGCAGGTTATAGTACAAAAACTATAAAATGAGCTGTACTGGTAGGCTTTTCCATACTCCCAATATATTTTGTCCCTTTCAGCTTTAAGCTTTTCCAGGAATCATCCAGCATCCCAGCCAAATTTCTGGAAGACAAGGAGAAACTGTTGGCCAGGACAATCCAGATAGTGGAGCTTGCCAGCGAGACGTGGCTGGTGACTGGTCGGCACCCCATCCCCATTGTAATGGCAGCAGCCTTCTTGGCATGGCAGTCTTTGCGACCTGTTGATCGCCTCACTTGCACCCTTACAAAGTTCTGTAAGCTTGCTGGCATGGACATGCCACGGCCAGCCCCACAAAGACTGAAGGAATTGCATAATATTCTCCTTCAGATGGCCCCTCAACTAGGTTGGTTGCGAGGGCTCAAAGTGGACCGGAGATCTGTGTCAAAATACATTGGAGACTTGCTGCAACATCGCCGTGTGCTTTTACGGGCGGCTTTCCGTATGGTGGATACCACAAAAGATCATGAGCCTGAGAACTTCACAGCACCACCAGACCATCAGCCTATAAAACCAACCATTGCTTTGACAGAAGAGGCTTCTGTTGCTGGGAAGAAGCGGATGCCTTTGCTTCCACCTTGTATCCTGTACCCAACAAAGAAACCTCGACCCAGTAATCCAGACCCTGAAGGCCCAACTGTCACAGGGGACGAGCCCATTTTAGACAGTGAGATTGAACAATACATCCGGACTCCAGAAGAAACGGAACTGTTTAGCAAAATGCAAGTTCGCCTGTACTAGTGAAGGTATTTAGTGATGTTAAAAGGCTGCAGTCAGTGGCAACAGGGGTTGGGTTTCTGATATTTATAGTCCGTAGTCCCAGACATATTTCTATCCTGAGATTAGATGAAGTCATTGTGTTCAGGAAAGTACAACCTTGTATCTTATTAGTCTTCTGCAGTCTGTTGCTTTGTATGCAGTAGTTGGGGTTTTCTGGATTCAAGTTACCAACAAATGTAGAAGGTTATAATAAAGTTTGGGGAAAGCAGCAATAGAACATGATCTTTAGGTTTTTTTTGCTAGATGTTGGAATAAATGTAATTAATAATTTTCTTAAAAGGTCGCTCTTGGGCCTAGATGTATATTGGTGAACACACTAATGTGCTGCTACATTTTTAGTCCCGAACATCAGAAAAAAATGGATTTAATCTTACCACATTGAAGTTTAATGATCTGCATCAGATACACTCCTGGTTTATTTTGCTTCTCATGTTTTGAATTGGATTGTTCTTATTTCCAGTTCAAACTTTGCTTTGCATGTTATTTTAGAAGTTTCCCATGTGAGTCTGAAGGTAAACATTCATTTAGCATTCAGTGGCTTAAGTGGACTTAGGGTCTGCAGGCATTGACTGAGGTTGAAAGTGACATACGTAGTATAGAAAAGGGCATATTGTGATCCACATATCCCTTCATCTGGGGGGGGGTGGGGGCAAGAGGAATAAGTATGATCATGCATGCCATGATGTCATCATGCAAATAAGCTGATTATCCTATGTATAAATGGGATGAAATCAGCATATCCCTTTAAATCTTATGGGTGAAACTCCACTCTTCAGCTTGTGTTTTTCCCCCTTGTTATTTGGCTAGTGCCTACAACCTTTTGTGCTTGACTTCAGCTATATATATAAAAAGCTGCAATAGAAAGATTTGAGAAGAATTGGCCCAATTGGGATGATAAACACCTTTTGAATGGGTGCACATTCCAGCTCTCATGAATAAGTAGGTGGGAAAACCATTAAGAGTGTGCAGGAGATTTGCCTCCTATCCCCAGTGTGTGAGATGACCAATGTAGTTGCTTGAATGGCTGTTCACCTCCCACACATCTCTTAAGTGTTGGGTAAGTGAGTCCCACTGCTTGGAATCAGTATACAAGTTCGATTTATGACTACTAAAATATTAAAAGTGTGTAGGTTGGGATGGCAAAGTATGGGTGGAACATAAAAGTAATACCTAGTTTATTGGATATTGCAGTTCTTTTAATATATTAAACAAGAAACATCTGCTGAAAACAGTTCATTTGTATAAAATGCAAACACAACAGAAATGTATTAAATGCTTTCTTTGGCACAGCTGTCTCTCAAAGAGCTCTGGTTTTGATATGTCATTTGCTCAAAATGTAAACCAACAAAAGAAAGGGTAATTATACAAAATTTCCCCCAATAATAATATTTCATTCTAGCAAGCATATATAACAAGTTCAGCGTTGCCAATATCATGTGAGTTGTAATATTGCCATATAAAATAGTTAAGGCTCTATTAAACATCATACATATGAAAACCAAGAAGGATGGGAGAAATAACCTTTTTCAAATGAGGAACAAGTGCTTTTATGGCTTTTCATGGCTATTGCTTTCCAGAAGTCTTAGGCAATTTCAAGGTTGGCCTAAGGCTCCTTGCTTGTGAAACCACATAGCCTCTGCGGTTCTGTGGAGGTAGGTTTTGTGGAATAGGTTTTCTCTTTTCTGGCCTTTCTGCCCTCTGTAGAGAGTGAAGAATTTCTCTTTATCCTTTTAAACAGGCATGGTATACATCAGTTTAAATGAGTTAATTAAGCATTGTGGAGCAATAAAAAATAAAATCAACACATAGACACACACATGGACAAAAAGGAGATTTGTGATATTTTTGCATAGAACAACTGAAGGAAAATTTACCATTTGGATGAAAATGCTGTTACAAGCGCTGCCCTTTGGATATTCAGCAGTGAATACCACTGTTGATAACTTATGTCAATCCTGGAAATACTGCAACTGTTGCAAGGGAGATTTCTGGGAATTGCAAGAATCATGGTCAAAGATTTTCCACTGGAATGGAAAAACTCCAAGGAATGTTGGGTGCTGTGACCTTGGTCTTGCTGGACTCGCTTTGAAGTAAGAAATGTTGCATTTCTCCAATATTCTATTCTAAATAGCAGCCTCCTACAGATGTAATCTTAGTTCATAAATCCAACTCAAAAGTTAATTGTGTCTGTCTGTAAACAAAACAAGGCAATCATCCTAAAGAATTAAGGAATTTAAACCAACACCTTCCCCTCAGACCTAGCAAAAATTTGTAGCCCATTACCTTGCTACATCCTATATAAACATGGGTGTGGTATTTGTAAGATCCCAGCCTTTTGCTTTTGATTATCCACAAAATGTTCCTTGCTGTTTTGTTGGCTAGTACATGAGATAATTGCACGATGGGGTGATTTTAAATGAGCAACATACATTTCTCTCCCCTTTTTACTCCAGATGGATAACACACATTCTTCCAGATACTTGGAAGTTTAGCTGTTCATCAGCAATCTTTTTGTTGTTGTTCCTTTCAATTCCAATGAACTGATGTTATCACTCTGACATGAATAAAAAAAGCCTCCGCATTGTATAAACAAACATGATAGGCCCCATTTCATAGGCCAAACCCTTTTTATGAGGTTCATGCTATTAAGAACAAGTATGTGTAGTTTAGAACTTTTTTTTAAAAGGCATCAACTACTTATGTGGGAAGGTTTGTTTGATTGTAATTGTATTCATACACCATACTTAACCTCATAATTGAAGTAATGGATTTTCTGGATTTTGCAATACATTAACAATAAGAAAATAATTGATCTAAACTGAATCAATCTTAATGACTGTATGCATCCTACTATATTTGGGGAATTTAAACAAAAATACAGAAGGAGGGAGCAAAAGATATTTTTGTTATTGTTAAGACTTGGATGTTTAAGGCCAAATGGATTGGGGATAAAGAAATTAATTTGGCCTTTCCTGGCCTGGTACCCTCTAGAAACACTGAGATTCAACTAAAAGAATCTCAAAGCAGAATCATCTTTCTGTAGACTTTTATTTTAAACCAAAAATGAAAGAGGATAGCACAGCTTCCACGGAAGAAGGAATTTCTTAGTCTGCATCAGAGGTGGTATTCAGCAGGTTCAGACCAGGTCTGGAGAACTGGTAGCGGAAATTTTGAATAGGTCGGAGAACCAGCAAATCCCACCTCTGACTGGAGATTTTACAGTATCCTTCCCCTGCCACGCCCACAGAACCAGTAGTAAAAAATTTGAATCCCACCACTGGTCTGCACTGGTATCAGTATGTTCACCAGTTCCTCCAGAGAAACGGGTACAGGGTCTTCCTTAACTTATAACCTCAATTGGGACCAGAATTTCTATTGCTAAGGCAGTTGCTAAGTGAATCATGCCTGATTTTGTGAGCTTTGTTGCCCTGACAGTTAAGGAAATCATTGCAGTTAAATGAACCACGCAGTTGTTAAGAGAATCCAACTTCCCTCAATTGACTTTGCTTGTCGGAACCTGGCTGGGAAGGTTACAAATGGCAATCATTTGACCCTGGGATCCCAAAGGTGCTTTTTTCAAGAGGCAACTGGACTTTCTGGTTTTTCTTTGAAGATGTTTTGCTGTTTATCCAAGAAGTTTCTTCAGACCTGAAGAAGCTTCTTGTATGAGAAGCAAAACATACCAAAGAAAACTAAAGAAAGTCCAGTTGCCTCTTGAAAAAGCACCTTTGGTACAACCGTGACTGGAAATCTCCATAGACATGACCCTGGGATTCTACAATCATCATAAATATATCCCAGTGTTCAAGCCCATTTTGCCCATATGATCATGGGGATGTGTAATGGTTGTGAGGGTGAAGAGTGGTCATAATTTACTTTTTTCACTGCTATTGTAACTTTGGTTGCTAAATGAATGGTATAAGTTAAGGACTACTGTACGTCCATTTTGAATTAGGTTTCCCTCTGTCTCTTATTTTCTTCTTCAACAACAACAACAAAAGATGCTATCATAATTCCCCTTAAGCCAAGGCAGGAATCCCTCAACCTCTGAAATAGAAAAATATGCCAACCTCACAAAATGTTTGTCATGGCCCCATTGTGAATTCTCAGAAGGACTGCTGTGGTGGTTGGGCCAGTTTGAAACTCCCATTTACCAGAAAGAAAATGAGCAAGGATGCTCTTTACTACCCTATTAATATTAGATATTAGCTCCTCTTTTGTTCTAAGAACATGGTCACATTTTCAATAGCAAAATACTGCCCTTGCTGCCTTCTATGAGGACCCTGCCTGGCCAACAAAGGCATTTCTGGACATAAAGAACATGACAGAAGCTGGCAGCTTTTCCCACAGCTTACCAACTTTGTTTAAAATATTGCTTTGATTTTAAAAAGCAGAATAGGAAATCTTGAAGTTGTTGAAGAAAATGTCTATAGGCACGTCAGTGCTATGAATCCCATGTTGAGGTTCCTGGAGCAAAGATGAGATTCCTAGAAGAAAAGAATCTCATTTGTGGCATCTCCTGATCTTCCCTCAACTGGTAACATTACAGATGCAGTGCTACGTACTTGGAACTGTCATCAACCCAGCAAGGAAATTCTTGTGGGAGTGGGGGGGGGGGGTTCTCTTCAATTGAATTTTTCATATCTACAGGAGGGATTTGTTCTTGAATATAGCATATGGTATGTAAACAGTGTCCCTATACTATTGGGTGCAGAGTAATTAAAATGCCAGCAAACAGAATAATAAGCTTGATTCTTTTCAATATTTCTGGAAACTGCCTTCGAGAAAGAATCTCAATGGCTTCATTCAGCTCATTTTTGACAACAGATTCAATCGGGATTGCTGCACAATTCTGTGAAATGGTTACTGTATTGCAAAGAGGCCTTTTTTAAAAAAAACATTATGTCCCATATGCATAAAGATTAAGGGAATGTCCCCAAGGTGCTTAAAAATAATATTCCATAGCTTCCCAAATCCTTAAAGGATTAATGTCATTCAAGCCTCTAAGGCTTTTTTCTTGGCAATTTTCACTCTATTCTAAACTTTTTCTTATTCATTTTTTTCCTGTTTGGCGATGTGCATGCTTTCCTTCATATAATGAGGGGTTATGGGCTTTCTTTAAAAAAACATGGTTAACTAAACATAATCAGTTTTAATAAAATGGTTGATGGGGAAAAACCCTCGATTTTTCTGAAGCAAGCAGACTGTTTTACTTTTAGGCAGAGGAAAATCTATCTTATAGGAGAGGGAATCCATTAAGGTCTGTTAATCCGTTAAGATGCAGGGAAGTCCTCTGCGGTTTTTATAACTGCCCATAATAAATTTGTTGACGTTTTTAACCTATTAATTAAAACATCCAACCCAGTTATCCCTAGGTAAGAACAATAAAATTGTGTTTCACTTTTTTCAGTGGATCAAATTTACAAGTTAAACATTGCAGCAGCTTCATGTATTTCAGAGGCTTCTATGTGGCGCGTTAGCTGCGTCATGCCTCTAGTGAGGCTTCATTGGGCATATTTTCCACACATCTGTTAAACAGGCCTCAAGGCTTACTTCCAACTTTGAACGTGAGGAGTGACTCGATTTGGAATCACAGAAAAGGATAGAACTGTCTGAGTTTTTGTTCAGTCTGTTCCCCGCCTAACATTCAAAGTTGGATGTAATCCTTCAGGCCTGTTTAGCAGCTGTGTGGCAAATGTGTACCAACAGCCTTAGCAATCAGAATCTAAACAAGTAATCTATTCCAATTCAGTTCCACAGCAGGTAACTTGAAAGGTGGTTACTGATAGCTTCTGCTTGAAAGTGCTATTAAAAAGTTTTTATATAAAACATGTCAAGCTCAGAAATAATTTGCTCTAGAAGTGTTTTAACTCATCTTTTGAAAACTCTTCTAGGTAAAATAAGACACTCCAAAGTTGACAATTGTTCTGAGCTCTTGATGTTTTGTATTTTTGGGCAATGATGCCCAACAAATCATATTCTCCCCAAGTCTCTTCCTTAAGAAAGACTAAAGAAGACTAAGGATTGTCATCTAGGCATGCACCTTTGGACAATTAACAGTGCACCTCTTTCTGTTTTGTGGCTTTTTCCTTGACAGCTCTATACTCATTCATTAGATTTATCAAAACCAAAACTAATGTGCACAAATTTGAATGACTGGGAAGAGCTTCCCTTGTCTTATATAACATGAGTTATTTTGCATAAAACATGTAGAGACTTTCCAATGGATAGCAAATTTGCCTATACATATGTACACAGCATATTAGAAGTTTTAGCTTATAGACCACTGTCTTCCTTGGGATTGTGTACAGAAATATCAAGGATATAAAGGGACATGAAGGAGGGAGACCATACAATCACAAGAACAGATGATTGTCTCTTGCTTTGCAACTTTGGCACCTTGGCTGATTGTGGCTTTCTGCTTGTTCCCTGGAGAAAATGTTCCCTGGCACAAAGAACAGCAACTTCACCTGATACATAAGTGAAATGTACTGTGATTCTCATGACAGGACAGAACAGTCTCCCTACTCCATCTGCTCAGAAGGATCAGCGGGGAGCATGGTTCTTGCCTGCCCATCTCATATTATCTAAGCCTATGTAGTGCATAAGAGTGTTCTGTTCACTGAGTCTGTTAGGCTGTGGCAACAAGGGTAACCTGCAGCTTCCTACCTTAGTTGGTGTTGTTCTAGGATCCCAGCTGCAGAGGTCTTTGACCCCTTCCTACACTGTTGTCTCACTCTTCCAGAGACCTGTTTTCATGCTGCTTGCATTGTCAGCACCACTGAGATTAATGTCATATTTGCTACCCTTCAGGACCCCGTTCTGATTGGCTGCATTGAGTGGGAAGGAGCGCCTCTTAGTCTCTCTTTCTACAGAGGGGTTGGCCTGATGCTTAAGGTTGTCTCTGCTGATGCTTCTCCTCTGGCCTCGGCCAACATCTACAGACTGTGGGCCACCGCTGCCATCACTCAAGTCCGACTGCGTCAGGGTGGATTCCAGAGTCACAACTTTCCCTTGGTTCTGATTGTTCAAAGGGCTATTCCGGCTGCTTTGGTAACTCTCTGAATGACTGTTCTGAAGGCTCCCGCTCTCACTAGTAGGATGCTCTGAGGAAGGTCCCCGCATTGCCTTCAGGCGCTGATGCTTCCCTTCTCGATAGAGTTTAGTTCTGCTTTTATGGAGTCTGGTGCGCCCATGAAGATTGTTTGTATACCTGGTTGAGGGGGTACTCTTACTGTTGGAAGGCTCTGCTTCCTCATAGCAGGCAGTTGTTACAGGGTTACTGTCTGGCTGGGCAAGGGCCACTTGCAAATTGTTGAGTTTGCAGGGCCCTGGGGTTGAAATTGTGCTGGTAGGGGAAGAAGAAGACTTAATGGACTGAGCTACTTCTGGGTTGCAGCCAATGAAGACCTGTGAGCCATCTTCAACACCTGCTCCAGTGTGCCCATAAGCCTGCATAGGTAAAGCATTCCTGTAAGATGGGCAACAGGTAAACCATAAACTCTGTACGTCTCTGCGCCGGGCACAGTGGTAGATAAAGATGAAAAATCCTAAGGCTCCAGCGGTGACTCCGTAGAGGCAACTGAAGACAACCTTCAGGAGGAACCAACGCTGAGATACTGCCATTGCTCCAAATGTCCATAAAGTGAGGTATAGGAAATGGGTGATGACAAGAGCCCAGAGTTGAACCCCTAGCGAATACACACCATCAACATCAGCAGCATGGAGGCTGGAATTCAGGGTGACTGAAAGTGATCCTGAATCGGTTAACAGGTTGCTACTGCCTCCGAAGCGCTGCCTTGTTTCCAAGGGTTTGGGTATTTCTTTGGGATCCTTAGCTCGGCACTGCAGACTGATTCCGGCACATAGGAAGTAAATCCAGGTGATGAGCAAAATAAAAGCTGCAGGCACATAGAATGCTCCAATGCTTGGTCGGCAAGCCAGCCAGCAGCTGGGTAGAGAAAGAAAAGGTTGGCCAAATTATGAACAGCTAACAAAGCAGCAGCAACTTTGCTCTTGTTCTTCATGACACAATTTCATCATGGCCAACTCACCATGGCCAACTTACCGCAGGACAAGAGTTATACTAATATAGAAGAAATGTTGGGATAGAATTATTAAAGATGCCAAGAAAGGACAAAATGAAATGTGAATGACAAAATTAAAATAAAGTTTTAATTATTTTAAATTATTCAATTGAATTGTTGAATTGTCCTGTGGTGAGTTATTCCTTGGCGACTGGCCATGGCCAGTTGTCCCACAGTAAGTTGGCCACGGTGAGTGGCCCCTTCCCTTACAATCTCTTGCCTACCTCAATTTTAAGGCAGCCAAAGGGAGACCCTGAAAATTACAGATATACAGGAGAGGAGACATCTATTGGTGGCTCATAGTCAAAAATACTTAAACCGAATGTCTCTATTCGGATAATCTATAGCAGGGCTCTCCAAATTTGGCAACTTTGAGACTTGTGGACTTCAACTCATAGAATTCCCCAATTAGCATAGCTGGCTGAGGAATTCTGGGAGTTGAAGTCCACAAGTTTTAAAGCTGCCAAGTTTGGAGAGCCCTGATCTACAGAATAGAATGCTTGTTAATGCACACCTTATCCTTTCTGAAATACGGTAAGATGGCACCTGAAAGATAAGATTAGACAGGATTTATGGGGCAAGGAAGGGGGGACTTAGGGGGAACATCTTTAATCCCTAAGAGATCTTCAAAAACTTGAAAACAACACTGGGGATTTCTCCCCCAGTTTTTGGGATTCATTCACACAACTGAATACATATGTGCAAGTAGATACAGTGGATCACCATTAAGGTGCATGGGCTCAATTATGGTGGTTGTGGGTACAGTGATGGAAGATCTAAAGGACTAGGTTGAGGATAGATCATCCTGAAGAAGATCTATCTTTATGGCTGTTAAAAGTCAATGCCAGTTTCATGACTCATAATCAATGTTCAAGTAGGATCTCAATCATGATACCTTAGGATCAAATGGGATGTTGCAAATACTTACTATGAGTCTTGATCTCCATAATTGTCAATACGAACTGCTGCTGTAATCCCGCAGATGATCAAGGGGATCCCTCCAGCAATCAGGTAGAACCTGGAAAGAAAATCACAAAATATCATGCAGAATTCATCATATGAATTAGAGCGAGTTGGGTATCTATTGAAAATTGTTGTTCTTGTAAGTTGCGAAGTTGTTTCTGACCCATTGTGACCCCATGGACAACGTTCCTACAGGCCTTGTATCTATTGAAGATACAAGAACTAAATCCTAAACTGGGTGCAATAATCATAGATTAGGCTCATACAGCATATTGATCTTTAATTAACAAACAATTGTTTCTACATAAACTTCGTTGCATTTTGTATGCATGTTCAATTGGCCCTGTTTCTTTGTGTTTTTAGTATGAGTTGAGTATGCAAACTATCATAGAAAATTTCACCAAATTTATTCTTGTATCTTTTGTTCATTTCAGTGCTAATTTTCTCATTTCCTGCCAGAATCTCAGAATGATTTATAAAGTTTTGAGCAGGGGGAACAACCTGATGCAAGGAATCAAACAATGATTAAGTTCCCACATGATCACTACTATACCCAGTTAAATGGGTATATAAATACCTATTAACCTACAAAAGAAATCTTAGTTAAATTGGACTTCTTTTGTAGGTTAATTGTGGCAACCCTCATCCATTCCCTGCAACCTTCAGGTGTCTTATAACATCCTATAATTCCCACTTCCTTAATACCGTAGCATTGGACGAGGAGCAGGCTGAGTTGGTTCCCCTTCCTGCTGTTGGGGTGCCTTCCAGGTGGATGCCTTGTAGATCACTCGTGCCATCACTGCCATCCACAGAAGAGTAGACAAGGAAGAATAATGGAGAATGATGCCAACCTGGAGAGGGGAGGGGATGTGCAGAGCAGACATAATTGATAGTCAATAAGAGTTGCTACAACTTCCAGGATTTCATTTGTGGGATTATCTATTCCCTATAAGTCTAAGAAGATATATTGTTCAAAGGTGAGCAAATTACGAAAAAACTTTTAGAAGGGTTTTAGTTGTTTCTTAAACAAGGACCATCTGCTTGATTGGTATGGGAATCTCAAAAAACTTGGAGGGTCATTAGCTTCCCAATTTTGCCTAAATGGTAAAGTAGCTAAGGGCTGGTTTGTGTGCATGCACATGGATTTGCCTTTAAATTAATGTCCTCAGCTACCTAGAAATGTATTTTTTGTAAATTTGGGCTGATCACTCAAGAAGGTGATTCTGTTAAAAGTGAAACCGTTGGGTAATGGAGATGGTGGTTTTCAGGATGGAATACTTGTTCATTGGTTCCTTACCAGGCAAATATGTCCCCTGCATCTAGAGGTAAGTAGAAAGACAATCAAAATGGCCTTACAGTAATGTCCCAAAGGGGCTTTTTCCAAAAGGCAACTGGACTTTCTTGTCTTTTTTTCCTTTGAAAACATTTTCAAGAAGCGTCTTGGATGAAAAACAAAACATTTTCAAAGAAAACCAAGAAAGTCCAGTTGCCTTCTAGAAAAAGCACCTTTGGGACAATTATGACTTTGATGATTGAGAATCTCCATAGACATAACGCCTTACAATAATATATTTACTGATAAATGGGATGATGAAGTATACCTATCAATTCTCAGAATTCCAGGGGGCATGTGTGATGTGATGTGATTTTTTTTTGTTTATTTTAATCAACATAGGTGCTTAATGAACATTGCATTGTCTGAGTCATTTTACTTATGCAGTCCAGTATTATGTCACATAATAAAGTTAATGATAATGATAATGATAATGATAATGATAATGATAATGATAATGATAATAATAATAATAATAATAATAATAATAATAATAATAATAATAAT